AGCAGTACTAGTAATAGTAGTTGCAGTAGTAGTAGTAGTAGTAGTAGTAGTAGCAGTCGTAGTAGTAGCAGTGGTGGTAGTAGTGCTCATAGAACGAGTACTGGTTATTAGTAGAAGTACTAAACGCAACACACGACTACCAGCAGTAGAAACAACAGTAGTGGTAGTAGAGATAGTAGTAGTAGTAGTAGTAGTAGTAGTAGTCGTAGTAGTAGTAGTAGTAGTAGTAATAGTAGTAAGAGCTGTCGCCGTGGCAATGTAGTTGTGATAGCAATAATAATAATAATAGTTATAGTAGGAGTAATAATGATAGTAGTAGTAGTAGTAGTAGTAGTAGTAGTAGTAGTAGTAGTAGTAGTAGTGGTGGTGGTGGTGGTGGTAATAGTAGTAGTGGTAGTGGTAGTAGAAGTAATAGTGTTGGTAGTAGGATTGACACTGCTAGTAGTAGTAGTAGTAGTAGTAGCAGTAGTAGTAGTAGTAGTAGTAGTAGTAGTAGTAGCCGTAGTAGTATTAGTAGTCGTAGTACTAATAGTAGTCCTAGTACTAGTAGTAACTATAGTAGTAATAGTAGTGGTAGTAGTAGTAGTCGTCGTACTAGTTGTAGTAATTGTCGCAATAATATAAATCGTAGCCGCCGTCGTAAAGGTTATAATCGTAGTCGTAATACAAATAGTAATGGTAGTAGAAATAGTAGTAGTGGTAGTGGTAGTGGTAGTGGTAGTAGTAGTAGTAGTAGTAGTAGTAGTAGTAGTAGTAGTAGTAGTAGTAGTAGTAGTAGTAGTAGTAGTAGTAGTAGTAGTAGTAGTAGTAGTAGTAGTAGTAGTAGTAGTAGTAGTAGTAGTAGTAGTAGTAGTAGTAGTAGTAGTAGTAGTAGTAGTAGTAGTAGTAGTCGTAGTAGTAGTAGTAGTAGTAGTAGTAGTAGTAGTAGTAGTAGTGGTGGAAATGATGATAGTAAAAGTACGAGTAGCAATAGTAATAGTCGTAGTAATAGTTGTTGTTGTATTAGAAGTATTAGTAACACTACTAGTAGCAGTCGTCTACCGTCGTCGTGGTCTCCGTCGTCGGCGGCGGCGGCAGACAGACAGACAGGGCGACTGAGAGGGCGATGGCGACGACGACAGGGACGCACAGGAGCGCCACACCGGCTGCGTCCTTCTCGTCCTGCTTCGCTTCCTCTTCCTGCTCCTCTTCCCTCTCCTGCTACACTCCTCCTCCCCTGCGTCCGTTGCGTTGCGTTGCGTTGCGTTGCGCCTGGCGGGGGGGGGTCCGTTGCGTCGCCTTACGTTGCGCCGGGGGGGTGGCGAAAGCGGATGGTTTCGTCAACAACAACAACAACAACCATGACAACGACAACCTTAACAACAACAACAACAACAACAACAACAACAACAACAACAACAACAACAACAACCATGACAACATCAACAACAGCACCAACAACAACAGCAACCACAGCCACAGCAACAGCCACAGCCACAACCACAACAACAACGACAAGCGTGCTAAGACGGTTCGGTCTTATCTGCTCGCGTGCCATTCAACACGTATACCCCGAACCCTCGATACCTGCCCTAATCGTCTTCGATCGTACTGCCTTGCGGGCATATTTTCCTTACCTGCAGCGCGTATTTCGCGCAGCCCCTAAGACAAGGGAAACGAGGACATATGGAAGGAAGGGACAAGGGACAGGCGGGTTGCTAAAACGTGCAATCTACATGATTCGCGAGGAGGTCTCGGGCGACATCGCGATTCCCAAATCAATCGTGAGAGAACCCACAGCGACAGCGAGATCCCTGAGTGTCGAGGGTACGGCGCCTGAGTCAATTGCGACAAAGTCCCACGCGAGAACGCGATCCCTGTATAAGTTGTAATGAAATCCCGCGCGGGAGCGCGATATGGGAATACATTGTGAGAAAAAATGAAGCGGGAACCGCTGTTGTGGTAAATCGTGGCCCAACAACATAACAGTTTGGCGAACCCACACTGACTCTGGTTTAAAAAATGCGAGCCCCGAAGGAGCACTATAATTGAAAACTACACTAGCTACCGAAAGGGGTGGATCAACAATAATCAGTCTTTGGTAATGAAGTTTCAACGGCTCCCGCCTGATACTTCCTCACAATTCATTCCGACACCGAGCTCTTCCTCACAGTGTATGTATGCAAGTATCGCGCTCTCGCGTGGGCATTCCTCGCAATGTACACCAGAATCGCGCTCTCGCGTGGGATTTCTTCGCGAGCTGTTCAGACGCCGCGCCTCCGACACTTAGGAATCATGTTCTCGCTTTGGCCTTTCTCGCGATGTACTTGGGGATCGCGCTGTCGCTCGAGCTTTCCTCGCGATTCTTGCGCGATGCACGCTTCAGCGACCCGCCTGCTCGACCTGGCCGCCTGGGCCCGCCTTCCCGAACCACCCGTTCGGGTCTACCCGCCCGATCTTCCCGTGTGGTTCTGCCACGTGGTTTTTGTTCCCAGCTCCCCTCCTGCATCTTCCTCTCGTGTTCCATCCTCCTCCCTCCCCCTTGTCCCTTCCGTCCATCCGTCCTCGCTTCCCCGACCTACTGAACTGCACGAAAATGAGCTGCACGAAATAAACGTTGCAAGTGAGAAAGATACACCCCGAAAAGGGTACGATCGAAGACCAAAAGAGCGGGTACCGAAGGTTTGGGATATACGTGTTGACTGGCACACGAGCAGGTAAGAGCGAACAGTCTTGAACTTATTGCTGTTGAGTTCTCACTCATGAAAAATAATTATTGTTGATCCCTCCTCCTCCGGCGCAAATGATATCTTTCAACTCAAATGCCCCTCCCGGGGCTCGCACCCGGTTCATAATTAATGGATGTCGCGAAGCGAAACTCAAATTGGGCCCCCGGCCTCCGAACAACAACACCAACAACGGCTCCCGCCGTATACTTTCTCATAATGTACTGCCCCCGCCCCCCCCCGCTCCCGCTTGAAACTTCCCCGTAATTTGCTCAAGAATCGCGCTCTCGCCTTACTCTTCCTTCCGATTTACGAAGGCGCCGCTCTCGCCATTCATCAATCGCGCTCTCGCCTCGAACGTCCTTATAATTGACTTGAGAATCGCGCTCTCGCCCGAGACCTCCAGGCGAATTATGCCCCAAGACTCACGCATTCGCGACCCACCCGCTTGACCCGCCCATCAGGGTTCGCCCGCCTGGCTCGCCCGGTAAAGCCCGCAGTCGCCCCTCGCTGCTTTTCGCCCGTTCCGATGCCCGTCGCTGCCCTCGCGATACCGCAGTCGGATTTGAAGGCCCCGTCGCTGCCTTCGTGGCCTCGGTGTATTCATTTGAACCCCATCGATGTCGTTCGTGGTCCCGCGGTCGCCTTTCGTAGCCCCCTCGCTGACCATCGTGGCCCGGATGTAGCTCTTCGTGGGCCCCTCGCTGCCCTTCCTGGCCCCATTGCAGCCCTCAGCGGCCCCCGTCTGTTCAATGTTGCGCCAACTACACGTGGCAGGGAAGAAAGATATCCCCCCTGAAGGGGGTACGATCGCAGACGCACAAGGCGGGTATCCAGGGCTTGGGAAACACATGTTGATTGACACACAGGCATATAGGAGCGAACAAGACTAAACCGATGTTTGTTGTTGTTGCTGTTGCTGTTGCTGTTGTTGCTGTTGCTGTTCTGGTGAACTCTCATATCTGAACATCGATCACCCCCAGCCCTTTGCACAATGTGCTTTTCAATTGAAGTGCTCCCCGCGGGGCTCGCACTGTTTCTTTTCATAAGCTAGAAACTTGGTGCTCAAGCTGGCCCCCTGCCCCCTGGGTTACAAGAACAACGGCTCCCGCCTGATACTTCCTGACAACGTATACTAAAATCACGCTCTCGCGCAGGACGTCTGCATATTTTTGGCAAGAATTGCACTCTCGCGTGATACTTCCTCACAATGTATTGTGACACCGTGTCCCCAAGACTAGGAATCGCGCTCTCGCTTTGGGGTTCATAATGATTTACTGGGGAATCGCCCTAACGCTCGAAACTTCCTTCATGATGGATTGGACCCGCCCGCTCGACCTGGACGTCTGGGTCCGCCCGCCCGGCCGCCCGACCCGCCCGTCTGGCTCTGCCACTTGCACTCCTGTTCCTAGCCCTCCTCGTGCAACTCTCTCACGTGCTCCATTATTCTCCCTCCCTTCCCTCCGCCCTGCATTCCCCAGTTTTGGGGGCTGCGCCGACTACGCGCGGCAGGTACGGAAGATATACCCCCAAGGGGGGTATGATCGAAAACGAAGCCAGCGGGCATCGAGGCTTTCAGATATACGTGTGAAATGGCGCTCGAGCAGATAAGAGCGAGCAACCTTAAAACAATCAGTGATCTTGTTGGAGGTGTTGCTGTTGCTGTTGTTGTTGGTTGTTATTGTTGTTGTGCGTGTTGCTGTTGCTGTTGCTGTTGTTGTTGTTGTTGTTGTTGTTGTTGTTGTTGTTGTTGTTGTCGTTCTTGTTGTTGTTTGTTGCTGTTTCGTGTTGCTTGTTGTTCGTTGTTGTTGTTGTTGTTGTTGTTGTTGTTGTTGTTGTTGTTGTTGTTGTTGTCGGCGTTTTACTCGCGACCCGCACGCGACCCTCCCGCGACCCACCCGCGACCCTCCCGCCACCCACCCACCTGCGACCCAGCCGCGACCCACCGCGACCCACCCGCGACCCACACCGCGACCCACCCGCGACCCGCCCGCGACCCACCAGTGACCTACACCGCGCCCGCCACCCTCACTCTTATCCTCAACTGCGGGGTGCTACATACACCAAACAGCCTGATTATACCTCAAGGCCCGACGGGCCAAAATCTCGGAAATCGTCTGGAGTCCGAACGCATCAAATTCAGTATAAGACTTATGGGGAAGGCCTTACGGCCGGTGCCGCCGACCCTGAAAGTTGACGACGACGACGACGACGACGACGGCGGCGGCCGAGGCGACGACGACGACGACGCTGACGCTCTGGAATCCTTCTTGGAGCTCTCTTAGGAGCCTATTGGCCTCTGTTTGGGGGCCTCTTGGGGGACTTGTTTTTTGGCTTGGCGGCAGCTGCTGCCTCCCTTCACACATCGCGACATAAATATCCAGCGTCACAAGATGCGACGCCAGTGGCATGCTGAAAGGTCGAGGTGCACGTTCTCAAGCTCAATGACCATACCTTTAACTCTCCGTCGCGGGACCCGCTGATGACTGTCTGCCCTGCCCAGTCAACTCTCATACACTCTATTGAATCCGCATGACCATTGAGCGTGACGATGCACTGGCCACTTGTGGTGTCCCATAACTTCAGTAGACAATCCTCAGAACCACTTAAAGCTCTTTGAGACTTCGGGTCAAATGCCAAGCACCGGACAGGCTCCGCATGGCCGTCCAATGTCAGGAGACATTCTGCCGTCCTCAAATTCCAAAGCTTGATCGCCCCATCGCTTGAACCACTCAACGCTTGCCGGCGGCCCCAATCCGCACCGACACACTTAACGGCGCTCGCGTGACCAGAGAGCACGGCAACCTGCGACCCGGTCTGCAGATCCCAGAGCTCGAGCGTGCGGTTGCTGCACGCGCACAGCGCCTGCTGCAGATTCCAGTTGACCACCACGTGCATCGCCCAACCGCCCTGCACCGCCATGCTCTTTTCGCACTGGACGCACGTGGCGTCGCTCGACGCCTGGTCTGTGTCAGCCTCCACCTGCCGAAGCACAGCCGCGGGCAGAAGGCAGAAGGCCGACATGCTCCACAGCCGCAGGGTGCGATCGTCCGAGGCGCTGACGGCGCCCGAGCCCCCCTGCCAGTCCACGTCCACGCTCCAGATCCAACCGTCGTGGCCCTGCAGCGTACCGATGCACTCCAGCTCGTCCAGGTCCCAGCTGCGCAGCGCGCGGTCTGCAGAGCCAGTCACCGCCCGCTTCGACTCCCAATCCACAGACACGCACGTGACGGACGCCGCGTGCCCCTCGGGCGACACGAGTGGCTCCTCGTCCCTGCCAGTGAGGTCCCAAAGCCGCAGCGTCCCGCTGGTGGACCCGGTGAGCGCGGCCGTCCAGCGCATCATTAGCACCTGCTCTGGGGCGGCCCCATGTTCGACGTCCCCGCGCGCGGTGATCAGCTCGATCGCACCCGGGCGCTCCGAGCCCTGAGGCTCCCGCCGCCTCCGGCAACACAGGAAGGCCATCTTGGGCTCGCGCCTCAGGAGTCGAAGAGCTTGCCCACGAGTTCAGGCTCCAATGCGGGGCGGGGACTCATCCGTAACCAGCGTTCAAGAGGCGCGCAGACAGCGGAATGCTATTCCCGAAGGCTGGCTCTAATTCGGACCGCCTGGGCAAAAACGGCTTGAGCCAAAATGGCTACGGCCTCTTGGGGGACTTCTTGGGAAGCTCCGTGGCCACTTGGAGCCACCTCGCAGTCGATCTGAGGCCTCTTGGAGGCATGTAGCAAACAACGCAGCATCCCGCAACAGCGGATAAGAGTGAGGAGAGTGCCTGAAGGGGGGATGGCGGTCCCCTTGTCCACAGGGGGCAGCGGGGGGACCCGCCGGGCCCTCCCGCGGGACACCCCATGGGACCCCATCCGCTACCCCCCCCCCGCGCCAGGGACGGGATCAAAAGGGGATTCTCTTGTTTGATTTCCGTCTGGCTAAATCGCCTCGAGAAGAGGGCCTAGGACAAGGCGGGGAGCGACGATTCAAACAGAAAAGCGTCTCACACACGCCGACAGGGTCGGCGGATTTTCGGTTGTTGAGAAGTTCTTGCCCAGGGTACCGCAGTGTATTCTTGAGCAGGCAATGCCCGTAAGTACCACAGCGCCTATATGCAACTGAGCGCCTGTATACACAATAGTGTTCGTGCGAAACACAAATGCTGCAGCAGCGACATATGTGTGTAGTCTGCGATTGTTGTGTACACCACAGCGAACAAGTACACCCCCCCCACGGGGTCTGTATCGTGTGAACAACGACGTTACTGTACCACAGTGATTGCTTGTGTACACCACCATGGCCGATGCTGCTGCAGCAGCATCTGTGCGCACCACAGCGTCAGTGCACACAACAACGCCTGTGCACAAAACAGGAATCGTTTGCATCACAACGCTTTGTATTCACCCCAACGCGTGCGTACACCTCAACGCCTGTGCGCTCCACTGCTGCTGCTGCAACAGAACGTGTGCACTACAACGCCTCGATGCCTGTGTACAGCACAGTACCAGTGGACACGCTGTCTATGTGAACCTACGAAGGGTTCCAGAAACCTCCGGACGACGTCGGTCGCCGGTCGTCGATCGTCGATCGTCGGTCGTCGGTGTCGTCGTCGTCGTCCTCGTCGTCGTCGTCGTCGGTCGTCGTCGTCGTCCCCAACCACTCCCAGCCTCCACATTACCCGGCCCATCCCCCCAACCCCGCGGGAACAAATCGTCGCATTACTTGACCCCTCCCTCACCCCACGGGTGACGGCCCGCTAGTTCTGGCAGTTCCCATGGACAGATTCAGCGGTCCTCTACTGAAGAGGTATGGACGCCGAAAAAAGCTGCCATCGGTGCGAGCCGTCTTGAAACTGAAAATGACGGCGGCGGCGGGCCAAAACACTCTAGCTGTGGCACGACTGGGGAGGACGGGAGACACACAAATGCGAGGGAGAGGGAAGGAAGAGAAAGCATAATGTGCATCTACTCGCATGGACCTGTCCGCCGTGAATGTCTAGGCGCAAGAGCTTTCGAATATTAACGGGCTTCAGTTGTGACGGTCTGGACATCAATCTAACTGCGAATGAATTGGAGTGTGAATGAGCCTCAGTAGTACGAGCGCGTCTCTGTGCATGAGCCTGGGGCCTCCTGGGGCCTCCTGAAACCTACTGGGGCTTCCTGGGGTCTCCAGGAGCCTCTTGGGACCTCCTGGGACCTCCTAGGAAGGTTTCGTGCCCCAGGAGAGGCGCAATCTATAGCAACAGACGTACATAAAGCATTGCGGATTAGAGCCACAGGAGAAGGGCAATATATAGGAACACGCGTAAAACACCAAGGACTCGTGCCCCAGGAGAGGCCCAATACATAGGAACATGAGTAAAACATTTAGGATTGTGTACACAGGAGAAGGACCATCTATAGAAACATACGTAGAACATCAAAGAATCGTGCTCCAGGTGAGGCCCAATCGATAGGAGCATACGTAAAACACATGGGATTGGAGCCACTCCTGTTGCCTTCTGAGGCCTCCTGCTCCTGGGGCCTCTCGGGGCCTCCTGTTGCCTTCCGAGGCCTCCTGGCGCTTCCTGTTGCCTCCTGGGGCCTCCTGTGGTTTCCTGAGGCCTTCTGGAGCTTCCTGGGGCCTCCTGGAGCCTCTTGGGACATCCTGTGGCCTCTTGAGTCTTTCTGTGGCCTCCTGATGCCTCCTGGGACCTCATGTGGTCTCCTGGGGCCTCCTGGAGCCTGTTGGAGCCTCCTGTGGCATCCTGAGAAGAATCTGCGCCCACGAGCCTGGCCACCAAAACAAGCAAACCGATCGAGACATCCTCAACATCTGGCCCACCTGGGGGGTGAAAATGAGCGCCTCGCTCGAGACATCCTCCAAATCTGCTCTCCAAGCGAAGGATGTTGGGCCCGGAAACAAGCAAACCGCCTGAGACATCCCCACAAAATGGCCGCGAACGAGCCCGTGCAAACACCCCTGGCGGCTCCCCTTAGGGCCACGAGCCTGGCCACCAAAACAAGCAAACCGATCGAGACATCCTCAACATCTGGCCCACCTGGGGGGTGAAAATGAGCGCCTCGCTCGAGACATCCTCCAAATCTGCTCCGAAAGCGAAGGATGTTGGGCCCAGAAACAAGCAAACCGCCTGAGACATCCCCACAAAATGGCCGCGAACGAGCCCGTGCAAACACCCCTGGCGGCTCCCCTTAGGGGTGCTGAAACCAGCGCCTCGCTCGAGACATCCTCCAAATCTGCTCCGAAAGCGAAGGATGTTGGGCCCAGAAACAAGCAAACCGCCTGAGACATCCCCACAAAATGGCCGCGAACGAGCCCGTGCAAACACCCCTGGCGGCTCCCCTTAGGGGTGCTGAAACCAGCGCCCCGCCTGAGACATCCTCACAATCTGCTCTCCAAGCGAAGGATGTTGAGCCCAGAAACAAGCAAACTGGGTGTGAGTAAGTCTGTGTATGAGTAAGTCAGTGTATGAGTATGTCTGAGTGTGAGTAAGTCTGAGTATGAGTAGGTCTGAGTATGAGTAAGTCTGAGTATGAGTAAGTCTGTGTATGAGTAAGTCTGAGTATGAGCAAGTCTGAGTATGAGTAAGTCCGACAGGAGGGGAGGAGGAAAGAGGAGGAGGGAGAAGGAGTAGGAGGCGTCCAAGTAATAACAATTATTCACTGCCTGGAGCTCCCCATATGTGCATCTATTCGCATGGACCTGTCCGCCGTGAATGTCTAGGCGCAAGAGCTTTCGAATATACACGGGCTTCAGTTGTGACGGTGTGGACATAAATCTAACTGCGAATGAATTGGAGTGTGAATGAGCCACGTGAAAATGGGCGCCTCGCTCGAGACATCCTCCAAATCTGCTCTGAAAGCGAAGGATGTTGGGACAGAAAACAAGCAAACCGCTCGAGACATCCCACAAAATCCCGCGAACGGGACCGAGTGAGATACCCCCCCGCCGCTCCCCTTAGGAATGTGACAATGAGCGCCTCGCTCGAGACATCCTCCAAATCTGCTCCGAAAGCGAAGGATGTTGGGACAGAAAACAGGCAAACCGCCTGAGACATCCCCACAAAATTCCGCGAACGGGACCCCGTGAAATACCCCCCCGCCGCCCCCCTTAGAGTGCTGAGACGAGCGAATCGCCTGAGACATCCTCCAAATCTGCTCCGAAAACGAAACATGTTGGATCAGAAAATGGCCAAACCGCCTGAGACATCCCCACAAAATTCCGCGAACGGGACCCCGTGAAATACCCCCCCGCCGCCCCCCTTAGATTGCTGAGACGAGCGAATCGCCTGAGTCTGAGTGATGACTGAGTCTGAGTGATGAGAGAGCATGAGTGAGTCTGAGTGATGAGTGAATCTGAGTGGTGAGTCTGAGTGATGAGTGGTGTGTCTGAGTGAGGACTGAGTCTGAGTGATGAGTGAGTCTTGATGAGTGAGTCTGAGTGATGAGTGAGTGGGGAATCAAAAACCCCATCTTTGGATATGGGGAATCAAGAACCCCATCTTAGGATATGGGGAATAACTTACGTGTGTGTCTGAGTGATGGGTGTGGTGTTCTGTCCTGTTCTGTGTCCTTCCGGCGCGGTCCGCCAATAACAAGAACCCCATCTTTGGATATGGGGAATAACCCCATCTTAGGATATGGGGAATAACAAGGCAACGACACATAAACTTTCGGTTCACGCGTATTTCTCAGATCTGCGCTGAACCCTTCTGGGGGGGCGCACTTGGCGCGCTCCGCGCCGCCAGGAAGGGGGGGGGGGGGGCAGCGCCGATCCGAGACATCCGCCGCGCGGACCTCCGACAGTGATGTTTCTGTCGCCGATGGCGGAGCCCAACAATAAGCGATACCGAATACTACCGTTCATCCTGGGACCTCTCCTGGGGAGCGTTCTGACCAGGACTTGGAGGTGATTCCAGCCGTGGCGACGAGGGACGGGCATCGGCATCGGCATCTCTTCCTCCTCATGCTAACATGCTTCTCCTCAGTATTATTATTCGGCTCCTCCTTTTCTTCTGATAGAGAGACAGAGAGAGGGAAAGGCAGAGAGAGGAAGAAAGAGAAAGAGAGAGAGAGAGAGAGAAAACAAAAAAAACTGGACGCGATAGGGCGCCGGGCGCCGAGCCTCCCTTCGCCGCCCACGCTCGGCTGACTCGGTAAACCACGCACGTCTTCTGGGACGACCGCGGCAAACCCACTGCGGGCCCCAAGAGTATACACCACCACCACCACCACCACCACCTCAAGTCCCCTTCCCTCCTCTACCCTCCTTCTCGCCTCCTCTTTCCTGGGAGAAGGATGGGGTTAGGGAGGTGGTGGTGGTGGTGGTGGTGGTGGTGGTGGTGGTGGTGGTGGTGGTGGTGGTGGTGGTGGTGGTGTATATTTGTTCCCAACCATCCTGTGTTGGGTCCTCGTCTTGAAGAGACGGTCCCCGCGTTCCTCCTCTCCTCCTCTTCCCCCTCCTCCCCTCTCTCCTCCTTCTTCCATGCGTTTCACCCACCCTGTACAGCGCTTCGTGGCCCCATAGGGAGCTCCACCGAAGCCCCCCGTGGGACCGCCCGCATGCGTCCGCCACCACCCAACACGGCTCTTGCTCCCTCGTTTCTCCCTCCCAGTACAAGGTTTCGTGGCCCCATAGGGGGCTCCACCGAAGGTACCAGTGGCACCGCCCGCATGCGTCCGCCACCACCCAACACGGCTCTTGCTCCCTCGTTTCTCCCTCCCAGTACAAGGCTTCGTGGCCCCATAGGGGGCGCCGTGGGCATCGCGGACGCACTGGCTCGCTCGCACGAGCGCCTCCAGCAACTAAGCCCTGCCGCCCGCCCGTTCTCGTACCTCGACGACGTGCTTGTGGTCGTGCCAGCTGCGTCCGCCGCTCTGGCCTACGTCGTGCAGGCAGAGCTCAGGCCGGTCTCGAGCTCAACACGGCGAAGACCAAGGTGTGGACCGCTAGCCCTGCCACCGCGGTGCCCCCCCAACCCGAGCATCTCCGGACTGCCACCCTTTCCCGTCTGGAAAACCCGGTCAGGTGGTATGACCGTGACGACGGCGGCGGCGACGACAGGCTGCCTCTCCTGGCCAGCTCCGATGGACGCGAGGTCCTGGACAAGACACGGACGGCACTTTCTGAGCCATTGTGGGACGCTGCGCCAGCACGGACTCTCGGCGGAAGGGGCGCACACGCTGCTCCGCACCTACGCCCAATGCACGCTGCTGCACCCACCTCCTTCGCGTAAGCTGCGAGACAGCCTGGGAGGGAGAGCTCGACGACTTTCTCTGAGGCGCCTACGCTGAACTGACCAGACCTCTGAGCAACGAACAAAAGGACTGGCTCACCCTCTGCCTAAAGGACGGCGGCAACGGCTTCCCCTCCGCCCAGGAGACCGCCGCCCGCGCTTACCTCGGAAATTGGGTTTTCTGCTTTCGGGGCGCGGCAGCTTGTCTCAGAGCCACCTAAGCGGAGGCCATCCGGGCCCGCTGCCCTCAGACAGCAGACACCTGGCGCCGCGCCGAAGCAGAACTCGACCGCCAGGAAGCGAAGGCCGAACCCTTGGACAGGGGCACTGGAGTGCACGACTCCTTTCCTTCGGACACTGGACAAAGATTGCCAACTCACACTATGCGGAGCCTGGGGGCCTGGGCTGCCCCGCGAGGCGGACGACGCCCTCCCAGACGCTCACTTCTTGGCCAACCTACGCATGCGCCCCTGCTGCGACGTCGGCGCCCAGGGCGCGCGCTTCCAGCACCGCAAACGGGACCGCTCCCTGTGTGGTGAGACACAGGATGCCAAGGGCTGGCACGCCCGGAAGTGCGGGTGTGGGGGCAGCAGGGAGTACCGACAACATTCCTTGCGCGACTGGAGCGTGCCATGGCACTGCACGCAGACTGGCCACCGCGACCGAGCAGCGCGTCCCTGCTTGGGATCGCCAGCACCCTGACACTGGCGCGTGGGAGGGGGC